TTGAAACTCACGCCGGGCACGTGTGTATGCATGCCCAAAATCCCTAGAGGAGACTAGATAAGGGATTGTGGCATGGCCCTCCCCCCATGAGGTGATTTTTTGCTTTCTGTCTCTCTGGTGAAAGCATGTGTCCTATAGCAAAAATCTCTCAACAACAACAAAAAAATTATTTGGGGCCAGCCCTGTAGCCTTGTAGTTAAAGGAGCCAGATGCCACATGGCTGACTGCAGTTCAAATCCCAGTCCCAGCAGCTTGAAAAACATGTTAGGCACATGTGAGTGCCCCAAATTTTTTTCTTAAGGTTTTTGCTATAGTGCACATTTGTTCACTGAAGAGAGACAGGGAAAAAGTGAGAAATCATCCCCCCCCCAGGGGTGGATGGCCATACCACAATCCTTTCTCCACCATTCTTTCAGGATTCTGGGCATGCATACACACACACCCAGTTTGATTTTCAAACTGCCAGGTCCAGGAACTGAACCACAGTTGGCCATGAAGAAATACAGCACCTTAACCACCATACTGCCTGCTGGTCCTGAGTGCCCCAAACCTGGACAGAGAAGGAACTATGGTATGACCATGCCCCATTAACGGGGTGTTTTCTTTCTCTCTCTCACTCTGGGGCAAGCACATATGCCCTTTGGCAATTAAAAAAATTATTTGATTGGGAACCAGCAGTTAGCGTAATGGCTATGTCGCTGGATTCCCACGTAGTCGACCGCAGTTCGTGTCCTGGACCCAGTGGCTTAAAACTCACGCCGGGCGCGTGTGCGTGCGTGCCCAAGATCCCGAGAGGAGAATGGAGGAGAAGGGATTGCGGCGTGACCATCCCCCCTGGGGGGTGATTTCTCACTTTCTGTCTCTACGTCTCTCTCTGTCTGGCGAGCGCACGCGCCCTATAGCAAAAAACCTCTCCAAAAAAAAAAAAAAGAACCAGTCTGAGTGTGCTCTGTCTCTCTCTCCCTCTCTCAGAAGACACAAATAAACTTGATTTAAAAAAAATTATTTGATAGAAGAAATTTGTAAAGATCTAGTTTGACACCCCCCCACTCAGATAGAGGAACAAAGACCCAAAACATAAAAGATAGGGTCTGTGTGCGAACCCAGGTGTCCAGTGTGCTACAGTTAAGAGTTAAAAGCAGCGGGTCTTAGGGGCCGGCAGGTGGCATGGTGGTTAAGAGTGCTAGACTCCCACATGGCTGACTGCAGTTTGAGTCCCACACCTGGCAGCTTGCTTACTCTCTCTCTCTCTCACTCACTCACTCCCTCTCTGGTCAAATGGAAATGAATGAATGAATAAAGTTAAATTTTAAAAAATTATCTAAAAAGCAGGGGTCTCAAACCAATCTAACTCAGACTCTGAATCCCATCTCTACCACATGCAGGTTGAACATTCCTAATCCAAAAATCTGAAATGCTCCAAAATCTAAAACTTTTTGAGTGTGAACATGATGCCACAAGTGGAAAATTCCACATCTGACTTCTTGACACGTTATAGTTAAAATACTGCAGTACAGAAATACTGTATAAAATTACCTGCATACTATGTATATAAAGTAAATATAAAACATAATTGAGTTTTCTATTATGAACTGGGTCCCACTCCCAATATGCAAATATTCCAAATTTGAAAAATTTGAAAAAAACCCTGAAATATGGAACACTTCTTGTCCGAAGCATTTTGGATAAGGGATATTCAACCTTTTCCAACAATCTGACCCTGGGAAAGTCACTCCCCATCTCTAAGCCAATTTTGCCATCTGAAAAATGGAAACAAGTGTACTAGAGGGAGAATTAAAAGGGTTTCCCATAGTGCCCAGCAGAGCAATTGTGTAACTAATTCTTTATCCTATTACTGTGGTTATCAGGATGCTCACACCAACACACTCTCATGATCTAAGGCTACAGGATGCTCACACCAACACACTCTCATGATCTAAGGCTAGAGGCCAGATATTAACTTGAGCCTGTGGCCTGGAGTCCCTAAAAGATTAACTAACTCTGTCTCAACCCTGCCTCAGGGGCTCTTCCTGATGACTGGGACCCAGCTCAGGAGCAGCCCTAGGCCCTTGTGGGCTGAGGCAGAGACTCACCTACAGCCCGGAAAAGACAGGCACCGTCCTCCTTCATCTGCTTGATGATGAAGCCCTTCTTGTCTCGTAGAGCCTTTTCAAACCAGTGC